GATTTGAAAATTTAAGGATATTAAGTGCAGGCTTGTTATTCTATATCTAAATCTGTGTCAAGAGAACAGAAAGGTGGTTTTTTAGTTTCTGTTTTAGTGGAATAAGCCATGAGGGGGATGCTGTACTTGCCTGTGTGTGCCTGGGAGCCTGTTCCACAGCACTTTATCGTAAGACACTAGCATAAAGAAATCATCCTTTACAAGGAGCTGTGAGGAGGGCATGGGAGGACACGTTTGCCCTTATTCTCAAGTTCTCCAGCACGTAACTGCACTGCCTCCCCTTCTGGTTCCCCTCCCACCCAAAGGACACCCTATTCATTTGCAGAGCTACAAAAGCTTGCCCTCATCTCACTGCGTTTGGCTCGTCTGCCTGCTGCATGTGCACAGTAGTACATGGGTGGGCGACCTCATTTGAGAGTTGATTTCATTATAGATCAAGTGTGTTCCTCCCCTCATGTATCTCATAGTTATCTTCTTCCCTGATGAGGACTTCTTAATTAAAGCATGAACAATTTGTGGCAGAACAGCATCTTCCAAAGATTTTCTTGCCTGGGTGCACAAATGCATTGTTCTCCAAAGGCCAGGCTGGTAATCTGTTAATTTGCAATCAAGATTTTATTGCTGTATACTGCTGTAGACACTGGTCACCTTTCTGGGCAGCATGAACCATAATTTACAGGCTGGTTTCAGATTTGGCTGTGTACATCTTCAGTAGGAATTTTTCTGGCTATTACAGTCAGGCTGCTGTACTGTGCTAATACAAGCTTAGGTTGGCTTTGCTGCCTTGTTTTTCAGCAAAGCTGGGGCCATACATGTCAGAGAATGGCATCTTTGTCCCCTTCCTGTCCCCCAAAAGAGCAATTAAGTTCCCTTGTTCCACCAGCAATTGAAAACCTGAGGTCATGTTGCCTGTGGGAAGAAGGTCATTCTGGTTGGTCCCATGCTCTTTGCCAAGAGCCTCAGCAGCCTTGCAGTGATCCTGCCCTGTGTCCCAAAGGCACCGAGGTCACATCAGTGTGGAGCTGCAGCCACTAGCTCTGCAAGGGAGCCCTGCTGCCCTCAGGACCCAAGCTGGTGCTGCGCGGGTGGGATCTCTGCACTGTGTCCCACTGGATGATGTACGCAGGCTCTTCAACGTATCTCCCATGTCCAGGTGTTCATAAGCTTTTAAAGCAACTGAAGATACAGGTCAGCCTAATGGGACTGATAAAGCACTGATATAATTAAAGTGGTGCTGCTGGGATGTTTAGACCATTAATGTGTTTTCACAGCTCTCAGGAGGATCTCCCCATGGCTATGAATGCTCATATCCATTTGGACATCGCTGCTTTAGAAGGTGGACAGACACTGATATATTGTCTCCAGAGCAGCAAGCAGCCAGCCTGCAGTGGCAGCCTCTGAGAGAAACATTTTAAATGGCCAGATTTTATGGAAGGGTGCATCTGAGAAAGTGATCAAACTTAGGATTTGTTGCCCTGGGCTCAGGAAGACCAAGATCTGAACACAGATGCTGGACGTCATTTCCAGTGATCTAAAATCCTCCTCAGTCTCCACAGACCATTAAAAGCAGTAAACCTGCTGGGAAGCCTCAGTGCTGTGAGTGGCAGCCTGTGTCACCGAACTGACGTGTTGCCAGAGACCTTCGGAAACAACCTTTTTCTCCTCAGCTCCGGTTGCCTTCCTGGCTGTCACTCTCTCACGGTGACTAGAAGAATAGAGGTTTAACCAGCTTAATGGCACTTCCCATGACTGTATGTGGGTGCTAAAAGCACACTCTGAACATTTGAATTAGAAGGTGACACACGCATCGTGGCTGGAACACAGTTGTCAGAAGAAACAACTCAAAACTTTTCCAAACAGCTGTTCGACTGCCAACACTTGTTTGGGTGCACCGACTGTGGGAAGACCTGTGCTTAAAATAAATGGGTTTCCAGCATGAGCAAGCAGCAGATTTGACTGACTTTGCATTCTTTCCTGGCTCTCACATTTACCACCACCTTGCACCACACTGGTGGCCTGGCTGGTGGACTCTGTCCTGAGCAAAGCAGGAGGGAGAAGGTGCACTGACAAACCACTCCAGTAAAACCCAGCGGTAGCTGGTGGCCTGGACACTGGAGTTTGGACAGGAGCGGGGAGGGATGTCACCACCGGGCTTGCACTGGGATTCCTTCAGTGAGGGGTGCTTCCCTGAAGGCTTTGCAGGCTGCAGTTATCCTGCTGGATTCAGACTGTGAGCACGACGCTGGAACTGTGTTCCTGATTGCTGCTTATGTCATCCAAAAATTAATATATTTTGCAAGATCTTTCCAGCTTTTCACTCTCAGACACATCAGTGGAGTTTGGGGCACACAGTGCCTCATTACCCACAGTATAACCCCAGAAAAGCATCATAAACTGAACCAAAGAGTTTGCATGATTTAATACATGTAGATTAGGGAGAAGTCATTGGGAAGTGGAACGTTTCTGGGATCTCAGGGTAAACAGATTTACGTAAAACATCAACAGGAATTTTTAAATTCTGTCGAGCTACTTGTGAATAAAAAATACAGACAAACAATGAATAATTGTTGCTATCTTCAGTGACCAAGGCATGTATATGGTAGATGAAGCCATACTCCATAAAACATGACTCCTGCTCCCTTGCACATGCATAAACAGTTGATAATCTTACAGAGAATAACACAAGGAGCCAGTTGTTTGATGCACCGTATGGAGCCCAGGCGAGTATTACTCATGTTAACAAGATTGCAAATACAACTTCAAGTCATTGCAGTTCTCGTTTACTTTGGAGGCTGTAAAATTAAATCTTTTTGATTTGGTGCCTTATTTAAAAAAAAAAAAAACAACAGTAGTACTGTGACTCTATTTGCAGTGGACATCTGGACAGTCACATCAGTTTGCAGGTGTGCATGGTAAAGGTGATACGTGCACGGAAAAGTGTACCTTTGAAGCGTAGGTGCGTTTGGGAGAGGCTGGGGTTGGGGAGCAGATGGCTGCAGTGGAGGAAAAGGGACTGAGCTCAGACTGCAGGAGAAACCATGTAAATTATCTAGATTTGTTGACTTTTAAAGGTGTTTTATTTACAGAAAAGATAAGATTAAATATCACCACATAAACCCTGAGACACAGAGTTCATGCTACAACTGTGTTCAGCGTTTCACGGAGCTAAGGTGACAGAGCCCAGTGAATGTCCTATTACTCATGGATCTGGCTGCCATATTTTGGGCTGCAACCCAAAGCCAGCAACCACAGAAAACTTGGATCATTTGCAGCTGACAAGCCCGACAGGCAAAAAGTATGTTTTCTTTGACTGGAACCAGATTGTAAAGGGAGCAACGGCATCAAGTAATGGCAATTGGGTCAAGAGATCAGCCTAAGGGTTTCCAACCAGGCTAAAACATTTGTTTTGGTCCAGACGGCTGATACTGCGTAAGTCTAACGTGCTTGAACCTAGAGCTTTTGGAAACAAACGCTGTTTTGCTGCTCTGATGAAACAACATATTCACATACCCAATGTGCATTTCTGTGTAGACCTGGGCTGACGTAGCAGGAAGACTGGACTTTGGAAACTTAATTTTGCTCTCATTTACATGACTGTAAGTCGGAAGTAATTTCATATGTGTCAGTGGGATTCATACTACGATAGTGGCATCATTCCCACGGGTTTGCACTGTTGGTTGGTGGTGCCACACTATCACTGTCCAGGTTTCCTCTGAACGCTCTCTGGAGTCCCTGGGATCACAGTGATTGATAGATGCACACAGCAGGTTGAGGGCTTTAAATCTGTTATTTTCAGAGCATTTTCCACAGGCAGGAGTGCTACCTCTTACGGTTTTTATTGACCTCATCTAATACATAGCCTCTAGAAAAGGCACCAGTGTGCTTTGTTTGCTCTTGGGGGGCATAAAGACTCAAGCAGAGTATTTTCTAAAGTACTTGTTGAGCTTTTCTGATAACATTTGCTTCAGTTTCAGTTCATGCACATTCAGATAAAGGCTGTTCTTAGGGTGGTTTTTGTTCTACTGGTTTTATTCTGGGAACTGCAATTTTTTTAGTGTGGTCTTTCACTGCAAACAGAACAGTACTGTATGTGCTGCTTCTGGCCTGTGCAAGCACGGCACGATAATCACAAGTGGGTGCCAGTAATTGACTGAGTGGGGCGATGTGTTGGTAGCCCTCGTGCCGTTTGCCAGTTGGCAGAGCATCTCCTCTGGATCTAGAGGGCAAAGCGCACAGCCCTGTCTGGGCTGACGAGTGGTCACCACAGGGAAAAAAGGATTAAGGGCTTCATCTGAGCGTGAAACGTTGGGAAGAATCTGAGCTCTTTCACAGCAGCCCGCGCTACAGCAGGGATGGCCAGAGCTGACCGACCCCACTCACTTTTGATTCTGCAGATGTGAAGCAGAAACAAACAGCAAAGTGGCTTATACTGTATAATTAAATGAGGAGGTCTAAGCCTTATTAACATTTTTGGGCTTACAAGGAAGAATGTTATTGTCTTCACTGTGGTTCTGATAGGGTAGCTGTGAAAGAAGAACTTGGACCCTTTTCAGGCCTGTGTGGGAAGGAGAAACACAGCGTATCTCTCAAATCTCACCAAACTTCCCAAAGGTAATATGAGATCGCACAGGCCTTGCCCAGACCCTTGATGCCAAGACAGAGTTCAGATGGGGGCCAGATCTTGCTATTTTGAATCCACAGTTTTGACTGAAGTGCTGCACATGGAGAAAGAGCTGCCCTTACCTGCGCCCTGTCTCCTGCAGTGGGACCCACACTGAGCTCATCCCTTTAGTCAAAAGGATGGGTTTTACAATGGTTGGGCTGTTTCAGTCAGGGAGATATGGGTCTTAATTCAGGGCCATCAAAATTCCTCCCTAGTCTTTTTGCTGCATTTGTACAAGTGGAACTGATTTGAGAAAGTTGATGGATCAAAATGAACGAGCACCTCTATAATTCACAAGTCAGTCAACACATGCTTGCCAAATAAAAGCATCAGAAAGTTTTTTTATCGGCCTAAATATTGAAACCAAGTTTTATTTTTTGAAAATGACATTACACACATCTTGCAAATGTACATTTAGATGAGAAAACAATGATTAACAAATATTGAGAGCAAAGCTATAAAGTGGACAGGTTCTCTGCTGCATGGCATTGCATTACAAGAATATTCAGACCTGGGATGGTTATTACAAGTAGTAAAAACAGTTCACAACACCTCACAAAAATGGAATTTTTTTCTAGAAAGTCAAATCTTCTAACAAAAGGAAATTCTGTTAAGGGAGAAGAGGCATGGGGGAAAGAAGTGTGAATCTAGGTACCTTTTGTGGTTTTGTGGCAGGATTTTGTGGGGTTTTTTTAAAGTCCGTTTCTTACAAAATCCATCTTTGTGCATGACCCCCTCTTTTCCAAGACTTTGACTGTTTTCTGTCCTCCGTTGCCAACAGAACCACAGCTATGCAACAGTAAGCCCTGTGTACTCAACTCAGAGCTTGGGAGTGTGGAGAAGGAGTTATCTACAGAATCCCTAACAACATAATTCATATACACCATCCCCCACCCCCTTCCACTGTGTATCCAGGAAAACAAAAAGTGTGTGCAAACTCCGCAAATCAGGGGCCGTGGGACTAGTCCCATGTGGGACAACCAGGTGTGGAAGCCACAGCCAGTACACCACGTGCCACATGCCTCAGCTGCAACAGATCAGCAATATCTCATCGTTTACTGGTGACACAAACTTCCAAAGATTTAACTTGTTCCCCAGTTCAAGCAGAGGCAACAGGTGACTGATCTCTATCTCTTTTACCTTGAAAGTTAGAGTCTAATCAAAGTGCCAAGGCAAGGCGCTGTGAGAAATGAGGTTCCCCGAGAGAACCTGTTGAGAACTGCTTTTCAAACCTCGTTGTATATCATTATTTATGCCCAAATCTGTACTTTACAACCACGAGAGAGACAAAGACAGAATAAGAGAGAGGGAGAGAGATAGAATCTTTCCAGGAGGAAAGGAAGAGCTAATTAAGAAAAGAGAGGTACAGGACCATGCATTTACTCTCAAAAGCTTGTTCACGAGCAAGCTAACATTTCTAACACTACAACCACTCATCTACATCTGTTTGCTAAGTAACTGAGTTCTACCTACAACTAGGGAGCAGAAGGGGTTTCTTCTTTTCTTCCCCCTTCCTTTAAAACGTCAATAAAAATGTTTTCTGTACAAGTTGAATGGCACAAAAGGTGGTTAAATGCTAAATAACTCACCACAAATGGAGAATGCAAAATTAGTTCAAAACATGCATGGACTGTGTACAGGTAAGCAAGGAATCATTGGCATAAAGCTGCAATATATTACAAGATGATACAGTTGAGATCTTTTGGAATAACCTCTGCTTGTTCTGTCCCTTTAAGAGAACTTCACATAAAAATTCAGTGTAAAGGGAGTTCAAGGTGTATATCCAAGCAGAAAGTTAATGATGGGCAACACTATTTGTCTGAAGAGAAAAACATTTCCCCTCCCCTTCCACATACTCCCCCAAGGTACAAAAGTCAACATGATCAGCATTGCTGCAGGCTTGCCAAAAAGAAACCTTAGATAGATCTGTTTTAGGAGAACAAAAGCAAGCACCATTTAAATTAATAGCTCTTTGTACAATGTCATTAATTAAATACCTTATTATTTTAAAAAAACAAACTGAAATTTACCAATCCCAACAAAATAACAGGTGAACCCTTACCACCCACATATCCTCCAAGGTTATGTACAGAGTTTAAAGTATACCAGCTAAACTTTAAACCTGGCTGCCCCTCCAACCCCCACCCACTGAATGACAATAGAAAATACATCGTGGCCTCTCAGTTATATTATATTGCAGCTTTGTTATTAATGATGAAATCATACAAACTCAATGAATGACCTAAGACAGTAATCCATGACCAGGTTCCAGTTCAGCTGCATATCTACCTCCCTCAGCACAACTCGGCAGCAGATCGGCAGCTCGGCGAGAGCCGCAGAGTGCAGGGCCGTGAGCCACAGCAGGTCACGCTCTTCAGAGAAGAGCAGCCTGAAGAACTCAGGCGTGTGTGATGAGAGCTGCTTGCCCTAGCCTGTGATTATAGTCGTGATTAAGAAAATAGGCAAAGGCTAGTAACAGCAAAGTCAACAAGCTGATACTCCTTCCCTGTGCTCTAGACCAGGCAGTGTCATAAAATACAGAGTATCGTGAGGTGAATGTGTCATCATTTCAGAGAACAGAAGGAGATCTGGCTAGACAGGTTTGCTCTTTCTAAAAGACCCTGGGTGTCTTCTAAATTGATAATCGCAGCTGTACTAGGACTGCCACAGTGATAAAGCTGCTTGGATCACACATCATTTAAATAAGAAGCAAACTAACAACAATTTTACATGTCAGAATTCAGCATGTAATTATAACTCACAGGCTTTCTTGTTCTTACATTCAATACTTCTGCTTCACCATTATCTATAAACACCAATTAACAGTGCAATTAATTCCCTAGACATTCTTTTTAAGGAGATGCATCCTTAGACATCACACTAAATCTGGAAAAAGCTTTATGTTTTAAATAGGGGGAAAGAAAAAAACAAAAAAGGGAAAAAAGCTGTGTGTTCTGCAGCCCCTCAGAGACTGCATGGTCGGCATGTGAGCAAGACACAATATCCCTACATTTCAACTGCCACCTTCAAATGGAAGTGAATTAAAACCCCATCCATATCTGCTGTGCAATGATTGGAAGCAGATGGAGAAAAGAAGCCATGCTGGAATTGAAAAAAAACCACAAAAAAACCCCAAACAAACAAAAAACCCACAAAAACCCAACAAAACAACAACCCAAACCCAAACCACAACAACAAAAAACCCCACGAAATTTTTCACAGGGATTCTCTGAAGTAAAATTCTTCATTTCAAGAACTGGGCCTGGACACCAGCTCAGGGTCCATTTGGTCCATTTCCTGAGTTTGACTCTGCACCTGGGTTTCTCAGAAACTTCGGGGTTCAGAACCAGGTTTGGTTCAGGTCCACCCTGACCAAGTGTCACCAACGTGTTTTATTCTGACTGCATGTGCCAGGTGAATCACTTTGCTCTGCAACAACCCTGCTGTTCAAACGTGACTCAAATTAATCTTTACTTCCTATGTATAACTGTTGCAAATAGAGATGGAAGAACCATCTTGGATAAAAATCAAAAGCAGCTTTGAGTTTAGATGAGTCACCTAAAATGAACTGAACCTTCCTTTTTATGTTCAGAGACATTTGGTAACATTTTTCTCTAAAAAAGAAGCCAACCATAAATCTCTATTCTTCTTGGTACTAGCTGGGGCTAGAGTAGAAAAATACTGGAAGAAAGAGAAATGCTACTTCTACTTCCATAAACATGCTGGGCTCAGGGCCTGTCTATTGGTAGACTGAAGTGAGAATAAAGTGAAATAAAGCCAACACTCTTTAGAGCCAGAAAATTTAGAGACCCTGATCTGCTAAGTTTCCTTGTTTAATTCTCAATTCTAAAAGTTTTAAGATATTTCAAAGAAAACTATTTCAGTTTTATCATTATCTGTAATAAAACTATACAAAATATCTCCCATATATAACTTGCTATTAGAGGTTCATACTAGAGATCACCTTACAACTGGGGTCAATGAGGTTTTCTCTGCATAGTCTGCAGCTGTCACCCAGGAAACTGAATCTACACTTAAGTAATCAGTCACACAAGAATTATTGACAGTAATCAATCTTTGAAATAGGAGACCAACCTTGGACCAAATGGATTCAGCTCCCTTAATTACAGAGGAGTTTCTGCCAGTTTAAAGCAGCAGAGAATTCGGTGTATTGGGTTTCGCTTGTGTTATATTGAACATCTAGAATCTACGGAAACAAAGAGGTGAAATCTTTATGCCAAAAAAAAAAAAATCTGAGACTGAACAACAAAAAATGTGTTCAGATAAGTCAGTTGTTTTTCCTTTTAGGATTAAATTCACAAGCACTGTAACTCAACTGATTTTGAAAAAAAATCTCATGAGAAAACTGGTGTTAAAGAGAGATCTTCGTGTTCAGCATGGACTTCCCATTGACTTATTGAATGCAGCAGCTCTCACGTATGTGGCTGGGCATTTCATGGGCAAGATCATCATCAGCCCCTCTGCTTGCTCAGCAAATCAAGATAACCTCCTCCAAGAGTTTGTCTTGGCTTTTCACCCTGGCGCAAGCGGGTTGCTACTTTTTCCAGAGTTTGCTGAGCTCCATGGGAAAGGGATGGGAGGTTCAGAGGTGCCCTTATTGCTCTCTTGCACATGTCTTGCAATTCCCCAGTGTGCCAGACCTGTTCTTCTCCAAGCCAGGGCATACTGATGAATTTCTGTTTCTGATCTGATAGGCAGGAATAAAAATAAAACCAAATCACAGGTTGGTGCTGTCATTCAGCAGAAGGTTGGATATTCCCTTCCCCATTTTAGGATGGCATATGCTGGCAGGAGAGTAAAACAGGAGCAGGAGAGGAACTTCAAACCAAGTTCTCCTGCCTGCTGCCAAGTGTGACCTTCTGTCTGCCATCAGGAATGGGACACACAGCCTGTGTGCTGGCTTAAATACCTGCAGGGGCAATAACTTTTTCAACATGCTGCCAGGAACTCCTGCTGCTTTTCTGTCCAGAACCAAGCTGTAGATCATCAGCTACCCCCAGGCTCCACTTTTGTTTGTCCCTGGAATTTCTTGGCTTTTGTCTTTTATTACTCCTACACATCAATGGCACTGACACCTCATGCTCTCCCTTCCATTTGATTTTCTGTGAAGTTTAAGCTCATTTCATCACTCACTAAATACCCCTTAACAAATGCCCCCTACCATTCCTCTTAGAAACAAGCCTTTTTTCTTTGTTTCCCATGACACTGGCCATCATGGCATCTTTCTCTAATGATGCCAACTTTCTTTTTTCAGCTGACGGACTCTAATTACTGCAAAGATTTGTTAATTCCCTTTGGGTATCCTCCTTCTTCAGTTGGTCAAGTGATAAACTGCCAGACCTTGGGAAGCTCTAAACTGACTCGAGAGTCCCGAGTTACAGTTCATTGAGATACAGAGCAAGAGACAGAATAGGTTAGTTCAACTAAGTGCATTAAGCAATGAGATTGAAAGGCAACGCTTTCCCATGACGCCATCTGGCCATGAACACTTTCTAAACAAGAAGGCTTTCAACAACAGGCCCACTGTTTTCTTGGTAGAAGACCACTGAAATCATTAGACTTATTCATCATTTACAAGTACAGGGCCCACATTTTGAATGGTAACATGAATTGCCCTCGATATGTCCAGGTACATGTAACAAGAAGAGGGGCAGCAGGGATCTGTATTCAGGCCAGAGGTGGTCCAGATGAGAGAATTGGGTTGCTGAATGTGGGTATGGCCTTGCTCTCAAGGGATGCTGCAGGCTCCTCCATGGGTTTGGGGAGAATTAAAAATGATGTGTCTGATTTTCACCATTAGTAAAATAAAAAGCATTTTTACAGCATAGTTTGAGAGTCAGAGTTCCTGAAAAGACTTGCCAGAGACAATGGACGATAGTTTTATAAGGTTCTATGAGGTTTTCAGACTTCGCTAAGTAATGAATAGATCTTAAGAGCAAGCTCTTCAGTTGCTCTTTGTAGCAGCTTACAGATGGAGGTCAGTATTGTGATCAACTCTTTCTGCATTGGGACACCATGGCAAAAGGAGAACTGATCTGTCCACAGTTATGCCAAAGACCAGTAGCTCTGAAATCCCAATGGCTCTGGAATCCTGCTGCTGACTCCACTAGATTTGATTCTCATTTGCTCAGAACCTCATCTATTGGCCGAAAACTGGTATTAGTGTTTTTAGCTTTCTCTAAACAGAGTGTCCTAAGGGTGGTCTGTGAGCCCAAAGCTCCACATTTTCACCTGTAGATGTAGTACTCATACCCTACCCTGCAACTGGGGTTCTGTCAGAGCAGCTATGCAATGGCATTACTGCAAAAAAGCCTTTTCATCCACCCATTTATAATCCATAAGCATCTCCTCTCTCCCTATTAAAACATGTCTTTTTGTCAGACCTTCAGACAAACATCAAATGATTAGATCTGTTCCAGAGGAAACAAAACGAGGGGTCTATACACATTGTTGGCCCCAGCCTTTCACCTGGAGGCACCCAGAATGAGAGACACCAGATCTTAAGCCAGGAGAAAAGAATGAGGGTGAAGAATATCTAACAACAGAATCGATAACCAATGCAGCAGAACTCAGCCCAGTTCACTCTGCAATCAGTGAGGAGTGGCTGCACCATGACACACAAGACTCAGCTTTAACATTTCCTGAGATATCATGGAGAGGCCTGCTCAGATTCATACAGATGGGACAGAGGCATGAACCACAAGAAAACTATGATTCCGGAGACAGTAATTTTCAACAGCTGGTTGAATAAATGCGAGATGGGCTAAAGACCTCAAGAATCAAGGTCTGTCCTGTCCCCCTTTGTCAAGGCCATTTTTACTTAGGCCTTGCTGGGCACATGTGTAGTCCTGCTTCTGAAGCCCAAAGCATGTTGGAAGGCACTTGAAGTCTTAACCTTCTTGGTCTTATTACACCAAAGTGGTGTTCAGCTGGATCTCTTCTAGGATCTTGTGTAAAGCATTAATCCTGCTGTATAGACTGACATCGCTCTTTATTGAGATAGACAGAAAAAGATCTTCATCTTGTGCCATCCATTTGCTTCTACAAAGAACCTCACCAGTCCCACATACTGTTCCAGCCTACTTCCATCAGCAACCAGAAAAATAACTTTGAGCCTAAATCAACACTAGAAAAAAGAAGCTGTTTTGTTCTGTCTTGGTCACAACCAGCACCTCATGTGTGGTAAACGCATTTCTAGATATCTTTTCTCTAGTTTTGGATTGTCTTAGCTTGAGGAGACACTTTCTGGACTAATGTTATATGTACTTTACATGGCTGTTTTTTCTTCCTTTCTCTAAAAATGATTCTGCCTTTACTGTAGCAAAAGAAAACTCTCCCAATTGCCTTGAATGGATGAGGGGTACCCCTGAAGTCAATGACAAAATACACTCATGCTCTCCCTGCAATGAAGATGTCACCTATCATAAAGTCCATACTTTGCCCCTGCAGAAAGGATGCAACTTCCAGGGGTGGCTGTTGCTGGAACAGCATCTGTGTAGGGATTCGGCATGGCATTACGGAGCAATTTCACAAGGTGTTCTGCAAAGTAGCAAGATGACCAGCACTGACCTCAAGGGCATGGAAAACCAAACCTGTGGCATCCTAGAAAATGTCATCAGTATCTATATGGGTAAGGAGAAGCTAACACTTTTATGCCATTATTTCCTATTAAAAATGCCTGGGTGTAACATTGTTTTGCTGTTTGCCACAATTTTTGGTCCTACCTCCCTTTTTTCACTGTTCAGGCAAATGAGAGGAAAAGAACAGCTAGACTGTGTGTTTGGTTTTTTGCATGCATATGTGCGTGTTAGCTAAGCATGAAAGAAAGATATGGAAGTTTTCTAAGCAGAATTATTTTTCTGTTGTCTATGAAAATAACACAATTAGTGTTTCTAGCTCCTGAGAAGATTGTAAATAATATGCAGATATAGAAACACAGGTAATGATAGGCAAAAGCTACTTCCATCTCCCACTGCAGAATGGACCAACATAAAATCCCATTACCAAACTCTTTCAAAATTACTTCGAGTTGTAGAGTCTTGGCTGGCTATTTAGCTAATGGAACTGAACTAGCTCCAAATCTTATAACAGATGAGGATTTAACTCAGAAACTTCAGGATTATAAATGCTTTACAAGTGACAAAAATCCTAAGGCTGAAGATTTTGCTGCATTGCCCTGATCTTCTACAGTCAAGACCATCACTGAAATGTATGAATACAACAGCCTATGCTTGGAGGATTGCTCTAATTCCTTCCTAGTGATTGCATGTCTTAAACAGGTATTTTTACTGTATATGCAAATTTGCTAAAATATACTGGATACTGAATAAAGGCAAATTTCAAAGAAAAAAAGCTCTACTACTTTAAGAGTCTCTCCAATTTGTTTTTAAATACTGTATTGTTTTAGAACAATATAGTCTTAGTGATTCAATTAGTCTCTGAAAACACTAAAGGCAGCCTCATGAGGGAAATTAGACAGGGTTTTTATAGCAGAATTAATATGGCAAATCCTCATATCCTGTGAAGTTTTATGTGCTTGTAAAAGTAGAAAAAAAATATAAAAGGTAAACTCCGGAGTATATAGTGAATTACTATCATCTGCTCCAGGATCTCATAGGGTCTGGAATTATTATAGTATATTGAAAGTAATTAATTATAATTCCAACTCAGGAAAGCTTTCTGACCAAACCCAAGCTTATATCTCGTGAAAAATCAACAGGAGTAAAGCACGTGCTAAAATTTAAGCATGTCTTTAAGTTCTTTCCTGATTAGGGCTGTCCCTATATTTAAATGACTAAGGTACGATGCCTGTGCATTGTTTCTCTTTGTATTCAAATCTATATTAGGGATTCTACAAAGCCAAAGATAACTAGTTTTGAATGTAGGTAACATTCCACATGCATTTCTGTACAAGAACTCATGCAATATTGGTATTAATACAGAATTAACTATATGTTACAGCTGAAATGCTCACTGACTTCTCCTGCTGCCCAGGCATTTCTACCTACAAAATTGCTTTTTAAAATTCGGGAGTTTGACCTCTTACCCTGTTTTCTTTGTGGCTTCTACTGGTTTGAATGGCTATTTTTCCCACTGAACTATTTTTTTTTCTTCTTTTAGGCCTTTTCAAGGTCCCTCTAATTCCCTGACAGAATTGTTTGGCTCAGCCCCACCCCAAGATGATCCTCATGCAAACAAAACCCCAATCCCAAGGGAGCACTTGTAGGATCAGATATTAGATGTGTCACTACGTGCAGCTCAGGAAGATGGCCTCAGTGATTCCTTAGCATGTTCCACCAGGAAAAGCATCTTCAAATAACCAAACACTACTTGTGGCAGGAAGGAAAGGAACCGCTTCTCAACAGTTACCTCAACAACCATCCATCCAAAGGTTCATTTACCACTTGGGATCCTGCTTTATCTTATACAAACTGAACTCATGAATACTGGATGAAAGCACATCTCAGACTCCTTACCACCATCAGCTCTAGCTGTTCAGTCTGCTTATAGATATCAAAGATTTGGTTTTCCTGGTGGATCTGTGGTGAGTGTCCTATACTGAATAGAAAGACAACCTAGATGTGATTTCAAGGCTGGTCTCTTGTTTTAGCAGAGACTCAGAGGAAAGGTGGCAGGACATACTTACCCTGACTATGACAGGAATGGTCTGTGTCACTGAAGTGCCACACCTTTGACCAGAGTCCAAGTACATCAATCTGTAACAGGCAGGGTCTGTTACTAGACTAGACTACTAGTCAGGGTCCCTGGAAAGGCAGAGACTTAGGGAGGGACTCTAAGATTTCCAGTAACAGAACAAGGGAGAGAACAAAAGCATGTCATCTGTCCCACTAAAGCTTTCACTAAGACAAAAGCTCTGATGAATAATCTTGTTAGCATAACCATGGCCTTTAACATCCTATGCTTAAAAAGTCATATTTTCTCATGACTAGTGTCTCCAGTAGCACCCACAGGATCAAACGGCCAAAAACTAGCACCCATTACCAAATCTGCTCCCAAAATACTTCAGCACCTTCTGTAGAGGATCTGAAAGCACTTTACAAATGTTCACCAGCATTTGGCCTCACAACCCCCAGTGAGGTAGAACAGTATTGTCCCTGTAGGGACAGACAGACAGATTGAGGCACAGGGTTACTAAGAGACCTGCTCCCGTTCAGACACTAAATTTAGCAATGCCAAGGGCTGAATGAAGGTGTCCTGACTACTGCACCTATGCTTTGTCCAGACTCCCATCCTTTCCCCAACAAACCTTCAACATGAGCCCTTAGCCTTTGAACTAAAACCAGGATTCTATATACAATAGGTGAAACGATCATTTAGCAGTCACGTAGTCAGAGAGTTATTCAATTAAATTAAGTTATTTGTGGGGACAAATGATTTCTTGTGCAAAACTCTGGGTGCAAATGATCATGCACTAAGACTACTGGATGTGAATTTGGTGCATGATAACTGACCCCTTGATAATTACCAATCCTGGCCTCTCTCAGATAACTCTCTTTTTTTAAGTTGCATTATATGTATCATCACATGAACCTCTAAAGATGCAGCCTGCACAGATTGTTTCATACCAGTAATGCAAGCAAACAAAACGTGGAGTGGCTTTGGGAACAACCCAGTGTTCATGTAGCATCAAACATCACAATGTTATAATGCATTCTAGTCACAAGGGGTTACAAGGCAATAGGGAACGGGTGTGCATGTTGAAACAAAGGCAAATAGAGCAACAAAGAAAGATTTGATTGCACAGATTTCGTTTAGGTAAAGTTCTATAATAATTAGTTTCATCGAAAGTTTGCTCCATGAGAAAAAGAGGCAATGCCAGCTAGCCTATGACAAAGCTTCGGCGTAGTAAAAACCACCAGCCCTGCGTGAAGAGATGAACTTTGCATTCTGTAGGAGTCATTACTGATTAATAAAAGCAAAAGGTTTCTCTAGATACAATAAGTTTGTTTTTGTCAGATAGAAGAGTTTCTTAAAATACGGGTTTTTGAACACCACAAAATTCCATTTGTTATATAAGTAGAGAATCTGGCCATAGTTAGGAATACTGAAGTGTAAAAAACCAAATATGTAGTCTTAAACATTACAAAAACTATCAAAACATTCAATATTTTGAACTGACCTTTTTTTTTTCCCCTACATGTGTCTATTTTGGCAGTGATGACAAGATTTCTAAACTGATTTGTTGGTATTACTGTTCTGCAGTTGGTTGGTTTTTTTGTAGATTTTTCTGAATGTGTTTTTTAAACAAAAGAAAATTAGCAGTTTTTATAAAAAAGAAGGAGCTAGAATCCTTACTCCCAAAACACAGATAAAAGGTTTTCCTTTATAAAAAGCGTATTGATTTTTTGCTATAAAAAGTGACCTGTAGGGTGTCAAACCTGAAAACAAATTTTCACAGTGTTTTCAGTGTTGGCTGTTCACAAGGCATTACTGTTACAGAGATAGAGAGATACCATAGGGCAGGTGTAAAAATTTCTTACCAGCTAGCAGAATCTTTGGATCACATGCGAAAGGTGCTCCACTCCAGATAACTCAGCTGACTTACTTTTTTTTTTTTCGCTTAATCATTAAAAAGAAAAAAAAAATCCCAGTATTTGAATCACTATTTTACTAACCTTACTTAGTATCTTATGCAATCATTCCTAATCTAATCCAAGCTTCTGCTGGCATAGTAAGCATCAAACTAGCAAGTAATCTCCCTTCCTGCCCTCCAAGAATAAGAATAATACTAGTCAGCATGCAGGTGCTAAAACCAAGGCTGCAAACGAGGAGCAGGTGAGCTGGCAAACATTGGCAGTTTGGACAGGTGGAGAATATCATTTGCTCTACCTAAGCTTGCAGATTGGTCAGCAAGTGATCTATTTGCACACTTTCGGGGGAGCTACTTTATTATCAATAGAAAAATTACGTAGTTGCAGTAGCAGAAGAAATAATAGAAGACAACGGGAAATGCACTGGATCGTTTGCATATTGGCCCCAAATTGCTTGCAATTTTGCATCCCTGTAACTTAGAAGAATGGTATCCCTCTATCTCTATAGACTGGTAGGTGTTGATTTGTGGCACAGAGGATAAATCACAGAAAAAAAATGACATATAACTGTGTGTCCATTTTCTGATTTGAAAGCACCAGTCACCTATCTGCTTATTTTGGCAGAAGTACTCTACTGTATCTTAAACGTAGCTTGTAACGTGGATGTTTAGCTTCGTGTCGCTTTACATGGAATCTCCAAGGGAATCAGAGTCATCCAAAGACAGAGGCAGATACAAGTCCTGTAGAAAGAAAGAAGAAAATGTTAACTCACACAATCAGTTTCCACCTTGGGTCATGCATAAGGAAGCAGTCGAATGGTCCGGTTCTGAGCAGTTTGTAGGGACAGGGCGAAAGACTCGTGCACAGGTTACTGGACAGGCTGAACACTTGTCCAGGTAGTTCAAGGCCAAAATCAAGGCAGGTTACTTGCACAATGGAGCAAGAGAGTCTTGGTACCAGAAGAAAGTTTGCAAGTGGTTTTTTACCACTTCTAGATGGATGTGTGGATCAATTATAGCACATGCATGAAAGAGCAGGACTTCCCTTAAACAGATCTCTTTAAACCTAAGTCTCTAAGAACTCACAATACAGAGTCTTACCTGGATGGGACAGCTATCCTTAGGACAAATCTCTAGGAAAATCACATGTTCCATGATTTATTCTTTACGCCATTTCTGATCAATTAGAAGGGTTAGGAAAATAATCACAAGTTTATAATTTGGGTCAAATGCTGAATGCAAAGCTTTTCCACAGTCCCTTTCTGGAGTAACCATTCCTTAAAGTTCTGCATGGAACTAGGTACACAAACCTGCTCGAGAATTAAAGCTCTCCTTGGACATTTTTGCACTCTGCTCACAGGAAATAACTGTGAGCAAAATGAAGAAAAGCCTAAATACACGGAAAGGAAATTGATATAAGAATCTTGATAAAAGAAGAGGTACATTATGACTTTGTGGTGAACTCAACCTAAGCATTCATCATTTGAGCTTTAATGGTAAAAAAAGAAGTGATTTCATCATAAGCAGGAAATTGCTCCTGGGAGGAAGACAATGATGCATGAATAGTCTGGTAACCTAAAATGCTACATTTGTGTTCACTGATCGGCTTAGGTTAGTGGACGAGCTCATAGATGGATTGGCTTTGCCCTGCACAGTCACCATCTATTACAAAGGTTCTAGGGGCTTCACTGGAAAGGTTCACTGGTTTTCAGCCAGCTGAAAACATACATGAAATATTAAAGAAGGTGAGTTTTACTTGTCTTTACCAGGAAGCAAATACTCATCTCCAACGTCCTAAATGAGATAGTGTTCAGGAAGTATTTTAGGTCCTTCATGGCTGAAGCAAAGGATGCAGTTTACAGGATTACTTTCGCTGAAATGCACACAAGCATTCGTTGAATTCACACTATGGGCCAGCTGCTGTTCTCAGTTATAAATTAATAATAAATCTGATCCCATTGTGTTAAAATTGGTGCATTTACTCAGACAGACTCAGCAGCTGAGATCAGAGTTAAGTCTTGGGGAAAATATAGATTTAATTTGGGTTCACTATGCCTTTGTTAAAGAAAGTGAAATAAAGCTGAGTAACTACAGCCTGTTGAGAATATTTTGAAGATCTGATTTTTGAGAAGCCAAAGTCCACCTCAGGCTCCCCCAGTACCATTCAACCCCATGCGCAAACGACTGTGATCCAAAATCTTACATGTTAGAGGAGTAACCCAAAGCCCGTTGGACTTGTGGCAATTCTTCTTATTGACTTCTCTGTGCTTTGTTCCACCATCATAACACCTGTAGTCTAGCTGCTGCTACTCCTCCTCACTTTGAGAAAAAACACAATCCTGAAACAAAATCAGTTCAACCCAGGCAATCTAAACCACGGTAGATTACATGGGGCTGGCTGACCTCAAAACCTTACCACTATCACAATTTTTTAATTATTCCTCCAGAATTTCAAGTCAATGCTTTCAAAGTCATACTTGGGCTGAGAGGTACATTCTGACTACTAAAGAGAAATCCCATTGACCTCCTCTCACATTTATATTTATGGCCAGGTTCCAATTTCTGTATCAAGTAAAGACTGTTGGAAGCAACACTGTGGCTATTCCAGAAATGAGAAAGCCCATGGAAATGACAATCCGGACTTGGCGCAGAATAGCACTGAATAACAGGAATAAGCAGGCTGTGACTGCTGCTATACCTTTTAAATAAACCAATACACGAATTACCTGTGAACCAGCACAGGTTTACTGATCCCTACTAGATGCTGTGCTATCTGTTAGACACCCTGTTTATTACCAGGAAAAACTGCAACTGACCAGAACACAATTACTACACCAGCTGTGAAAAATCACTCGTTTCCTGTAAAACAGAGCATGGCCTTAAAAAAAATAGTCCTTAAGAAGCATCATTAATGTTTAAGAGCTTCAGTAATATTTGTATTTCTTCTGCTATTTAGTGGACTAGATTTGCCAACACTTAAGGCTTTTCAAGAGAGGAGGATTTATATGAAGATCATGTTCATCAATAACTTGTGAATTTTTTCAAATAGTGATACGAGCTCAGGGTTAAGTTCTCTCCTCTGATGCATGTGAATGACCTCCGGCACACGTTAGTAACTCCAAGGGAAGAAACAGGCCAACAATTTGCTGTTCACCATTTCGCTAGAGCTCAAAGTGACATCCCTTTTAGGTAATGGGCTAAATTCTCCACTGTTTCAACATAAGACGTTGTGCTTCCAGAGAATATGGCCATGACTTAAATGTCATACAAATCTGAGTAGACTATGTAAGAAACAGATGTAGTAAGGTATAAGAAACGTAATACCTTGTGCTTACGGAGGCTCCCTGGGCTGGTAGGTGTGGAGATCGGGGACTGCTTTGATTTGGGTGTAGACAGCTGACTGCTTGAGGTCCCATTTGCTGTCAGAAAACAAGACAGAGCTAGCAGTCAGACAACCAAGAGGAAGATCTTCTTTCTACTTTGGAGAGATGGAAGGTGTCCAAACATTTAACACAGAAACACTATAGTTTATTCATATTAGGCAGGAGAAAACAAACAAGCAAACAACCCAACTTAAGGCTTTCAGGTGCTCAGGATAATAGACTTTGGAATACAGTGAAATACCAAATATATTCAAGTAGCAATATTTTACTCTACAAATATTCCTCCAACTGATCCAAGACACACATCACCAGAAAAACAGAAAGACAGTATCTATGTTATCAAATAGTGTAACACAATTGAAACCATACGTCATTTAAGGGCATGAGTGGAAACCAGAGGCTGCAGATATGCTGGATCCTACACAAGAAATGTTAGATGTCAAATATACATATTACAAATCAGACAAACAGCTGCCTGGAATGCCCTGGATGTAGTTGGCTGTGGCTCAGATTAAATGACCAAAAGAGCCCTTCTGAAACCCTGGTGTAAGCACAGGGTGGCATGTCCCTGTTCACCTCTCTGGGGAGAGGCCAGAGCTGGCTCTGCTGATCCTCCACTGCCTGTGCCAGAGAAGTGAACATCATCCATCGGGGGAAGAGAATCACATCAAGCGATGATCCTCTCACAAAGATCAAAATCTGGCCTTTTGGTTTCTTTTGTTTGTTCATGTTGCTTTGAAGAAACACAGTTATTCTCCATTTAAAAAAACCTGACTCACTTAAACCAAACGGCTTTTGTAAGGGTTGTTCATTGAGGCCTTCACAGACATGGCTTTTAGTTAAAGTGAAGGGCCCCAAGGCTAAGACAGGGCAAGCTATTATGCATTTATTGGATCAAAACCAAATCGAAGTAAATAGCATATTATGCAGAAAAAAATGAAGGGAAACAAAATGGAATAAGGATAAATTACTTTTTTCCTACCACTGATGTTCTTGCAGTAAGTTAATGTCTATGATAATTGCCAGGTGTCACAATATGTGATTTCATAAGGACATACTCACACATAGTGAATTTGGTCATTCATAGGTTGTGTATGAACTCCAGGGATACAGACCCTTTTGTTACCAAGGGCTGTAAACACGTAGCTCCTTCAACACAAGCGGCATTACTTGAGGGAAGGAAATTCACACTCATGCTGGCTGTGTCTAACTATATTATCTTTTCTGGCCTTTTCTTTTTGCAATCCAAGCAGCAGCAAGCTGGAGGCCTTTTGAGCATTAAACTACATAGCCCAATCAAGTCTACAGAAAGTGACATTTCCAAAACCTACTCCAGATGTTAACATATTCAGCGCAAGCCACAAAACTAAACCGCAAATATTTTGATTGTCATTTCCTTAAATGGCTATAGTGCTGCCAGCCCTCCAGATAACTGTGCAAATCCCTACCCCCTTTAAAGAAAACAGTTTTAATTGTGTTGATGTTTCTCACAGAGAGAAAAAGACAAGCATGTAATGATCCAGGCTTGTTGTCCTGTTCTCTTAACTGCCCAATACCTCTGTATACCATTACTCTAACTAAAAGCATGTGCACAAGAGGACAAATGATTCCAGCATATGGGGCATATGCTTCCAATTGTAATAGTTGAATATGCAAATCAGTTACTTAAAATTACGCAAGTAATTGAGTGTCTGGAGGAGACCTAAGTGTATAAAGTATCATACAGTAAGAAGAAAGTGTGTGAATGCTGTATTTTCAAGATAAAAACCAGCATAATTCTTGCTTTAATACCTAAGACAGCCTCATTCCTTTTCTCTGTTACCTTCCTGTGAGAAAAAGGGGGGCAGTTAAGGTTCATGGTATCACGGGCCCAAATGCAGATGTGATACATGTGAATGCAAGTAAACATAAAGAAACATGTGCTCTAAGCCACAGGACAAAAGAGGAGCTGCTGGCATGTTAAAGCAGCTCAGGCTCAACGGATTGATGGTGACGTGGGCCCTCTGTATTCATATCCATCATTTCTACACAGGAGGCACTAGTGGGAAGAGGAGGCTATTCATCACAGATAGCTTTTTTCCCATTACAAACGCACCTCACTGAGGAAATAGGTATTTCTTAAAAGGTGGTAGAAATAATGATTTATAGATAATTGGAGAACAGAGTGACCCTTCACCTCCCCATTCCACTCAGACCATTCTTTATTGATGGAGGAAAAAAATTAGTTCTGGAAACCCAGAAACTGTTACACACCAGTCCTTGCACTGCAACATGCCACTCCTCACTTTGCTCCAGTTCTACAAAGTGAGCTGCCCTCGAGGTTGATGGGAAAAATAGTAGAGTTCACTAACAATATGCCATATAATGAAGGCAATTCAGAAAAAAAGAATTTGGATATCTTTTATGTTTGGTTGGGTTTTTTTTACCGAATGACTTTGAGTTTTCTTATTAAAGTGAGGTACAATAACACTAATATAATCTCTATTAGCTAGAATCTATCTCTAATTTCTAAAATGCCTCTTTCTTTATTTATTTCCAATTGTCATTGATCCTGAGGCAGGAAGTAATCCTTTCTAAGACAAAAATGCCACTTAACAAGTCTACAAAGAACCCAAATTTCCCTTCCACAAACAAGAAGACTAGAAGAATGGCAAACAGTCAATGTGCAGCAAATAGATATAACTGCTGGAGGGAAGGACAGAAATTCCCTAATACAATGAGACTTTTAAGTGCTACAGCAGGGATGTTAATATTTTATGAGCACCAATGAAAAAAACAGATGTTACATCCAAATCAGAAATCCAATGAGACGGATGTGTATCATTGCAAATACTTACAAAGAATTTTGCAGCAGGAGCAACAATTAAGAAGCCCAGTTTAATTTTTTCTATGTCTGCTAATGAAGAATAGTGTTCATCATAAAACTTGCATGCATTTCTTTTGAACTCAAATGCAAGAAAATAACAAGAGGCAAAAAGCAGATCCCAGGTGGTGTATAACGCTGCTGCTCCACTAAAATCTGCTGATAACTTATAGTAACTAAGGATTTCACATAAACTCAGCTATTGGAAACAATTCTTTATAACCAGCTTTCATTTAAACTCATTTGTTTTTTTTCCACCATGTTATTCTTTGTGTATGACGTCTTATGTCATTCTATTTGCTTTGCAACTTTAATTTACCTTATAGCCCCTTTGTGCCTATGAAACATCCTTTAATTGCATTAACATGTGTAGAACTTCGTTTCATAGCATCCACACCTTCTTCAGTGCACAAGACAAGTTGGACTTGGGAGATAAATCAGGCTTGTCCAGCCAATGAGAGGGAGGATGGAGAAGCATCATGTCGTGTTTGAGATGGCTATGAGAGATCCAGGTAAACTGAATTCCCTGCCTGATTCTCCCAAAGATATTCTAGCCAAACTTCTCATACACAATTGTTCATTGAGTGTTGCTCAGGTTTGCTTGGATGGCTGGGACTTTGGATCTGAATTTCTAGCAATGATAATAACTGAGACCTGTAAATAAGGCTAGTGAGGTCCATCTTTTGAACTCACATTTCTATCTACCCTGGAAAAAGCAGGGCCCAAGGATCACAGTGAGTGCTCAAAATGTGTGGATATATCTCTTTTTCTATCAATTGGTAAAATAGGGTTAATACTCCTTGCTCCATTGGGGTTCCCAGAGTTTTGGAGATGAGTTCCTAGTTTGAGGAGCACATACTCATACATCACAAGAGCGAGAGAAAAAACTATGAAATATGTGGATAGTTTTGTCTCCAGGTCAAGGCTTGAAGTGTCACCAAGGAAACAGAAAGAGGCAACAACCAGAACAAGAACAGTATAAAGCAAATATAGAAATAGCAGCTCATTTAGTGAGCACAAGCCATCCTGCCCTCCAGGGCAGAGGAGACTATGGCAAAAATAAAGACTCCATTGTAGTGTTTATTCAGGAGTGGAAGAATTCAGATTGCAGAGGCATCCTTTACTCAGGCACCTCCTAACTCCCAAGCACTCAGCTCTGCAGTGTTGGCACCCTTTTCTCATCACGTTTTGTGAGGGTGATTTCTCAGCTGGATGTGTACTGTGGATTGTCAGCTAGCAGAGCCTAAGTAAGCACAAGTGGGATAACAAGCTGCTCTATCTTGTGTGCAATCCAAAAGACATCTGCTGCCTTTTTAACACATTCATATATAATGACCCTGGGGAGCCAGATCTGCAGTCAGGACAGACTGACATTCTGTATCTGTTTTGCTAGTTGCTGCAGCCTTGTGGATATGCTTTTGTCCCTCTATCCAAACCCTTCCACTAGAGGACTGAGAAATTAAAGTTCTGCAGCGGTGCCTCAGAGCCCTGCTCATAGGCTCCCTGAGCAAAGGCAAAGCTGGGGAAAGACATTTTCAAATTTCAGCTCAGGTACCTGTGGCTCTGTACTGTAAAGGACTAAGATCATGCTAGTTTTAAAAATCATAAACTCTCCTATCACAGCACATGTATTTATACAACTGAACCCCTGCTTGTTATGTGAGTTACTGTAAGATAAATTCATATTTTTATAACAAAGAAGTAATGGCAAATGACATCATTATTTCATTTTCTCCCCTGAGATTTAGCTCTGTCTTTTGTTTGGTTTGACAGCTTATTGGAGTAGTCTGTTAAAAAAAATTTGCCAAACTTCCCATTGACCCTAGCCCATTTTAAACTCATGGACCATTGCAGCAGCACAGAGACTTATCTCCTTATGGCCGGGTTTCTTCTGTCATGTTAGGAGAGGGAATGGGATGGTATACTGCAGGTGTAATTCAGCCTGGATTTTATTGCTCTAAGCTACGTCATTTATCAAAGCTGACTTCATAGAAAGAAAAATGGAGGCTAGAAATAGCCATAGAAGCTTTGTAACTCCAATTCCGTGCTCTAAATTGGGATCAGATATATTTGGGTCATGCCCAGTAGAGATCTTATTTTTTAAAAGCATCAAGTCCGACAGGGACTCACAGGCCCTAGGAGACCTGCTTCAATGATTAAGACACTTAAAATT